ATATATATACTGTATATATAAAAGTTCCAGATGGCACAACAAAAGCAACAGCACACCATCACATCAGATCTTATTAACTGAAACTGAGATGTGGCTGAATATGACTGAAAAGAAAAAAAACAATCTAGTGGAGTAACAGTGAGGATAGAAGCCACTGCTGGAACAAAAACAAGAAACAGATCTGACAAAAGTCTGAAGCAAACAGATAGAAATAACAACCAAAGTAATGAAAGTGCAATTAAATTAGCTAAGAAAACTTATTTACTAAAAAAAAAAGTAAACTAATAAATAAACTCTAGGCCCACTTCGTCCCCATGTAGGACTCCTGCCGCCCGAAGGATGCCGGCTCATTGGAGAGGCTCCTGGATTGGTATTCTGAACAGAACTTTCCACATTCGAGAAAACAAAATGAGAAAAACAGAGAAAATGTGGCGTAAAGCTAAACAAGCAATTCATATTCTCTTTCAACTCTACCTTCCAGTGGTCTTTATGAAATTCCCTACACCATATATAAGATTCATTTCCTCTCATCCTCAGAGCAATATGCTGTTAAAAAAGTTCCATCTGTTCATTTCTTTCAGGTTTTTATGAAAATAAAAAACATACCTTGAGAGTAAAATGGAGTCTCCTAAATGGGAGTTTCAAATAATTTGATGCTACAGTTACAGCATGTTTTTCCACTATCTGTTATTTTATCAGATTTACTCATAAAAAACTAACACACAACTTCATTAACCTTAATTATCTACTTATAATACATTAGGGGATACATTTGTTTATACAGAATGGAAAACCCTTGAAGGGATCTGACTAACATTAGACCTTATTTAATAAACATTTACTTCAACTCAACTAACTCAAGCTAATAAACACGGTTGATTTTTTTCACCCCATTTATTGTGCAGAACATAGAAACTACAACAAAATATAACTTTGTCACACATTATAGATTTTTAGCCTTGACTCTGTTTTATTCTCAACAGTAACCCTTCATCATCATCATCATCATCATCATCCCCAGAAAGCATTTTGTCAGTAAAAAAAAAAAATAGCAAGTGAAAAATGTAATAAACAAACTGCTTAAAGGCACAGTGTGTAGGATTTGTTGTTTTCAGTGACATCTAGTGGTTGAATCATCCTGCCTGGTCCTCCCCCCACCCCCACCCCCCGCTTCCAAACACAAAGGAGTTGCTACGGTGTCTCTCAGGTG